AGCGCAGTTGAGTGATCGATTAAAATTAAGTCGAACGTAAACACTCGAGAGCGATTTATATCTGGTTAATAATATAAAATAAAACTGAGTATAGTGGTGAACCTGCGTCTAGTCTTGTCTTTTTTTTTTTTCACTTTTCTCTTTTTTTTTTTTTTTTTTTTTTTTTTCTTTTTCGTACGAGCCAGTATGAAAAGTGCTACTATTATTTTATAACAATGACGCACACACGTTTCCAAGCACGTTCTTGTTTAATATTTCTTGCGCCAACGCGATGACGACGACGATGATGATGATGATGATGATGATAACAACAACGACGTTCATTGAAAATTTCGCTTGTTGGGGACGACTAGGATCGTAAATAATACATGCGATCGCTTGTGTGTATCTACGAGAAAACAAGAGCCCGAACTTATATAGGAAGGTATTGGCAGTGGTATTGACGATCGATCTTTGATCACGCAGACGTTGCTTGCTCTATAAAGTAATACGCGAAAAATCCAGGTGAAACTAAATCCGACGCGACCAATAAAGATCGATCGGCGGATGCTTATTGTGTTTTCTCCACGTTTCTCGACCAGCGGATGGATGAGCCTTTATATGTTATATACACGTTACAAAAAGAAAGAAATAATAAAAAAGAAGAAGAGAGAAAAGAGAAATAATAAAAAAGAAAAAAAAAGAAGAAGAAGAAGAAGAAGAAGAAGAAGAAGAAACGAATCTATTTTCTTTCTCTCGTAAAATTAATCGATGCATGTATATTATATACGAAAAGAGAAAGTAGAAAAAAAAAAGAAAAAAAAAACACAAAATAGAAAGGAACAAAGATTCGTAATCGTAAAAAAAAAAAAGTAAAAATAAAAGAAAAAAAAAAGGAATCGTGAAAGATTATACTATTGTCTACACGTAATATCGTGCAACGTTTCACGAGACCGTTTTGTTCATTTTCACTCCTTGTAACGCGTTTCATTTTTTCTTTTTTATTAATATTTTAGCTGACTACTTCTTACTACGCGCGTGGTAGTATTTTTTTTTTTCCTTTTCTTTCTTGTTCTCTCTTAGTTAGCGTTACAACGTATTATAATATATATATAGACGCATTTTATGTATAGATATATCTATATATATTTATATTTATCTATAGCGTTCATCAACGTGAACCTCAATACACTTAAATCCCATATCACAAGATATCTTGTTCAGTATCACGATTTAATTACCTCTGTGTTCATTGCGTTTATTTGCCCCCCACCCCCATCCCCATTCGTTTTTTTTTATCAAGCTTTTCAACTCCCATTTTTTTTTCTTTTTTTCACGTAATTCATCGTTGGCTAATTTATTGCCATCTTTTCTTATTTTTCGCCTCGATGGATTCTCTTTTTTCCCCTCCCCTCCCTTGTCATCGATGCATCACATCCTTGGTTATTACGCCATCGTTCTCTCCTTGTGATAGTCACTCATCCATATCTCGCACGCGCCTCCTCCCGTTTCACAACGTTTCCTTTCGATAATACATCGAGGATCGCCCCTTCTTCGTCTTCAATATCTATTCCATATCGAACTAAAATTAGCATGATTTCGCTTTGTGCCGGGGTCGTGATCGGATTACACTCGAAGGATTTCCTCCCATGGATTTGCGCATGTCGATTCGATCGTTCCCCACCTTTCTTTGAAAAAATTCCCGTTAAAATGCAATAAATCGGGCAATCTATCGTCACGATATCGAATCGCAAAACGAATTTTTCGCCCGGGGCACAGGAGTTTCCGTTCAAACGGTGAAGGCGCGAAATTCGAATCTCGCGAATCGTTTTTCGATGCGAAATCGATTCTCGCGATAAATGCATTTTGTGCAAGAGATTGATATGAAATGCAAGATTAAGAGAATAATAATTCTCGAGTCTTTCGTTGCGAGTGCGAATCGATGACGTGTAAATGCTGATAAAAAGGAATTATAAAACGTATGCATAATTCCGGGCAGTTGTTGAACGATGATCTTAAGATTAAAAAAAATATTGGTCGATAAAAAATCTTAAAAATATTGAATAACATTAGTATTAAAAAAATGAAAAAAGTTAAAAAAAAAAAAAAAAAAAAACAATTTATCTAAATCGCATTATTAGAAACGAATGAGAAGAAAGTTCAAGGATGATGCGATTGCGAGCGAGTCTTCTTAACCAATTCTAAAATTGGACGAGTATTATCATAAAAATATTAGCCATATAAATTGCTAACATGTGTGTTTATCAAGCCACAAAAGCACGATTCATTTTTCATTCTCTTGCAATCTGTTTTAGTCTGACAGGGGAAAGAATTCCTCGCGGAATCGTAGGGTCAAAGTTCATATTAGCACGTTAAATAATTTAACGCGGATAAATATTTACTTTGAAACATTAAATAAATATAAAAAGACAAAAGTAAAAAATAACAAACACGGATAAAGAAACATAAACGCATAACATATTATTCCATACACTCCTATCTTATCAATTTTAGTTTCTTTCAATCCGATATCAATGATCGTTCCATTATATTCTCAAAAAAAAAAAAAAAAAATAAAAAAGCATCGTGATTTTTTTCTCGACGTCGTTCTCGTTCGATCGACGCCTCATTCGAGGGGAGGGAGGGCGAGGGGACAAACTTGACCTCCTTTAATTAACAATTACGGTTGCCCGCTCGATGGAAAATCAACCTTTCCTTCTGCTCGATATTGATAGCATTACGGTGGAATCTTCTGACCTAAAAACCATCTTGGATGAAACCTCTATTCAACGAGGTGGCATGCCCTCTGATTATTAGATCTCTCGCTGAACGAACGTGAAAGCCACCCTCGTCGTATCGCGGCGCCTCGGTATAACGTCTAGATCTATCCGCATAAACGAAGTTCGCCGCGCAACCTTTCTTCCCCGTATGTGTATATATATATATATATATATATATATACTTACAGAGAGATAGAGGTCGGGTTCGCGTCAACTAAATAAACCCTCTCGACTATTACTCCTCACCTCGGGAGAATCGATTCATCGACATGGCGCAAATCTTTGCTTCCCCTCTGCCATCCCCTTGGCACAATAACCTCCGTGGCCGTCCTCCCTATTTACGTTATAATAGGATGCAAACGTGACACAGCGATACGAGCGAACGTAACTCGTTTTTAACGTGTATACAACAAGGGAGGCGCTGATCTTAGCGAATCGGTATTTAGCGACCAGAAAAACGAACGCCGAAAAAGCAATCGTCCTCGATTAAGCAAACGGATCGACGCACATCCCTCCTCTCTCGAGCAAACGGCGACGAGAAATGAATCTTGAGACAACAAGCAAATTGGAGAGCAACGCGAAGCAACGTCGCCAAGCTAGGTGAGGTACATGATTCGAGGTATCGCGATTGATTTTCCTTCACCCCCTTCAGCGATTCTCTTTGTCGTTATTCCTTTTTTTTCCCCCATTTTCTTTTTTTCGGTTTTTTCTTTTTTTTTTTTTTTTACGCTTTTCGCTTTTTAGTAGTAACATATCGCGTAGTAGATCACAGTAGTAGTATCCGGAGGTCGAAGATGAGGCCACTGTTATCTCTCCTTTGACTCCGAGGAATCTTTTTCTCGTAACGAGCGACCATATTACCACACAGGCAGGAACACCGTTAATATCTCGGTGTCGTTCGACAACGGGTATTCACAACGCGTGTCGAAAGACGACATCGTGAAGATAGTCGGTCCGACAATCTGATCCGACAAATCAGCGAGACACGAGGTCAGCGATCACGGCAACATCGACCACGGTAAACGTGTTAGAAAAAAGTAATAAGAGGGATCTCGTGTTTCGATGAATCGTCTCAGTTGCTCGATAATGTCCTTGCTAATCATTGTCCACCGTCTCGAGCCACTCGAGAAACGATATGCTCCATCCGTTGGATCCGTGGGATCCATGAGAACCATGCGATCCTTGGGATCCATGGGACCCGTGAGATCCGTGCGAACCGTTGTTGTGCTGCTGTTTCGTTTGCAATTGGTGACTATGCTGTTGCTGCTGTTGAGCTTGCTGTTGTTGTGGTTGTTGCTGCTGCTGTTGTTGTTGCTGTGGCTGCGATTGCTGCTGACTACCACTAGTACTACTGCTACTACCGTCACCACCACCACCACCACCACCACCACCACTACTAGCATCACCACTAATAGAGTTCAGCGACGGATGACTGCTGACGGTCGCTTGATGATTGGTTGCCACCGTTTGATCTCTTCCTCTTCCTCTTCCACCGTCGTTACGTTGCAATGCCGAGTATATGGTAGACATGGTATGGAAGATGTCGTTCAACTGCTTCACCTTGTTCGTGTTCTCCGTATTGTTGGTCTGCAACGTGTTCGACTTGGTCGAACTTTTGCTACCGGACGCGGAAGTACGGAGGCCGGAAGCGGAGGTAGGCGGCGCAGAGGCTGCCGGTAACGCGGGCAAAGCGTCGTTCGTTTTCTTTGGAAGCTCTGGCAATCTACGGCGCAGCCATCTGTGTTTCAACGCTTTGCCAGGTGTCATACGCTGTTCCGGGTCCCATTTCAGGCAGCGGTGAATGAAATCCAGGAAATATGGATCGTCGCAATTTTTCAATACCTGCCTCAGATCCCTGGAGCCGGGCGGGCCACGGTCTTTGCCTTTCCTGGAGAAACCGCCGTTCAACACGATCGAACCGTCGGACATCGTTATAACGGTGCAATAGCGTGGATAACCCTTTGAGCTGATGAACTGCCTACACCGTTTCGCGGATTCTAACAGCTGAGGCGGCGGCATGCCTAGCAACTCGATGATACAGGCCAGCTGGTCGGACTCGTCTTCGCCTGGCAGCAGCGGGAAACCGGTAACCAGCTCCACCAAGATGCAACCGAGGCTCCACATGTCGATTGGCATACCGTACTTTGCACCCAGGATCACCTCTGGCGCGCGATAGAAGCGACTTTGAATGTACGTGTAGACGCGTTGGTTCTCGTAGCAGCTCGAACCAAAGTCTATCACCTGGAACAACAAGCGGAAACGGGTTTCAGGATGTGTTTTACGCAATGATATTATTATATTGCGATTATAATCGAGCATTCCGGTACGCGGTGTACCATGGTTCACAAGTTTGAGATCATTTCTTTGTCCCTCTTCCTTTTCTTTTGTCTTTATTTCTGACAGAATTGACGCGTTAACGATGCCAATAAATCTCAACTGTGTCCCATACCGTGACATAAATAACGTTATTGATGGTACGAATAATATCGTTTTAATAGTTCTAAACAGACACGCTGATGGAATATTATTATATCTCTCGCAAACTCTAATACCAATTCGAAATCCTGGAACTTACTGAATCGTATCATGAATATCGTACGTGGACTGAATGAAATCGGAGCCCGTTTATGTATCGTTTATGGCACACGTTTTCCAAGGAAAACGTGACAAAATGATACGAAAGAACCGGTTTTTTTTTTCTCTAACGCATAAACGTATAAAGGCTCGATACGATCATTTTTCACCATGATTCTCGTACGCTGAGGATTACGCTGATTAATATTCATTCGACGTTATCATTACAAACCGTTAAGATGTTTGTGAGGCGGAATAGAGAAACGCGTGACTAGAGAAGATCGAGCAAGGCAGCGGATAATTTTGTGCGATCATATCTGTTTTCGCTACCGGCCTACTTTAATATTTCGGGTAACATCGAGTGCTCTCTCTCTCTCTCTCTCTCTCTCTCTCTCTCTCTCTCTCTCTCTCTCTCTCTCTCAAGGTGTGCGGCAAACAAGAACGTCACATTGGAATTTATCCAGGGTTATAGCGGTTAGCTCGATTTATTGGCTCTGGGGTCTGTGCAAATTTCAACAAGACGTGATATCGATAATTAAGAGATTATTCCACGTGGACCAATTCCCTCCTGGTCGATAAACAATATAATCTTTTTATTTGGAAGAGAGTTCTCTCCTGTTTCTTCACAAAAGAATACGATCTTTGCGCTTAGAAGAGTTAGCAAGAGAGTGTCGCGTATTTGCGTCGAATGAAGTAATTCGAAATGCGAACGTTGGTTAGAGGATAGAATTCATTTATCAGAATCCCTATTCTTCGAACGAGATAATGGAACTCCCTATTGTTTTCTCCAAATGTAGTTTCAGATAAATGGAGTTTTGCTACACATAATCGAAAGTCTTAGTATTTCTAGGAAGCTTTAGTTTTGATATTCTATATATAGGAGAATATAAAGATACATAAACGTGCGGGATCAACGATTGAAACTAATACTAAAAGTGCGGTCTTAAATTAATAAAATGTTGGATCTTTGATAATTATTTCTCTAAACAATTATCATTACTCCGTTACATCGATCATTATTTTGTCTAGACGTTTTTCCAGCGTAGCCCATTCCAAACGAAATTCATTACGATATTTTAATTTTCCATTTATTATTCTCTAATCTATGCAACAATTTTTCAACTTACGATCTTACAGATTCTACAATCCTGCTAACTTTCACGCGCATTCCTACGAACGCGCGCTCGATCACTATAAATCCGATATTCAAGCGTAAACCTCCAACTCCTCTTCCATTCGATTCTCTCAAACGCTTCTCATCCATGCCGCAGCATCCACATATCATCGCTCGAACAACCTCCGAGAAACAATTTAATCCTTACACGCGCGTTCTATTCACCTTGGAAAAAAAAAAAAAAAAAAAAAACATTTCCCATGAACACACCGGTTTTCTCGATGGGGGGACCCTTCCCTTATTAAATTCAAAGCCTGGGAAAGATATTGATTTTTCGAGTGAAAACCAACGTCTTCTCGTTTCCCTCCACGCGGCCAAGATATGTCTGACGCCGGGGGTTCGCACATTATGCGCACGAAAAGACGTGGCAAAACGATTCGTACGATCGGGTTCCCGCGCGTCAACGTAAATAGAAAGCGACACGGTTGATCGATTTCGACGGGTGCCGCGCCGGAAGCCCGGCCGAAGGGTACGTTGTTTGACGGAAGTCGCCCCGAAGGGACGTCGGCCCTGTCACTCCGCTAGAAAACACGCGTTCGAAATGTGGGTTCCGATCCCGTTCACCGATCCAACCTTTTCCCATCGTGAAATTACTTTCTTGAAACGGTGTAAACAAGCGCCAACTTCCGCGAAGCGAAGTTATCTAAGGATTTTTTCTTTATTTCTTCGTTATTTTTAATTAATCGTCGTGGGCACGTGGTGTCACTCTATGCGATACACGTTGTGGATTTTACGATCTCTTCCACGTTCACCGATATTTCTTCACGGTTGAATGCGTACGCTGCAAAATACGCGTTCGACGAAAACGTCGGTGAAATTCGATTTGAATCCATTACTCGTTTCATTTTTATTTTTTTTTATTTTTTTTTTTTCTTTTCTCTCTTTCTTTCTTTCGTCTCGGACAAACCGACGTCGGAGTTTATAAAGGAAATATTTATAAAGGAACCACAGACCTACGCGAAACGTTCCTGGGAATATTTCGTGGCGATGGATTTGTATAAGCAGTATAATTTACGGGACAGTTTATGCGTTCGTTCACACTAACGTGGAACCATTTCTGCCAAGGCTGCGAATTTTAACGGGTTTTTCCTTTCGCTGATTTATCTTACTTTGTTACTTGTTTACGACGAGTCGGAAAAAAATTTTTCAAAAACGGTCCACGTTTTCTCTTTCGAAATCTCTTGGATTAAAATTTAAAGAATCGTGAAATTTCATTCTTAATATCACGAGATCGCTGCTTCCTTCGAGCGACACGATGGTTGTTATACGATTGAAATTACCGATGATCGATAATAACGCGAATGTAAATTAACGGAAGTGGGGGATGGAAGGGTCAGGAACCGAGTCGAGATGTTTTATCGTGGCCCGTGAAACGAGATACGAGAAGAAAAATGTTTATTCGCGGTTTCCCTTTCATTCCGTTGCGGGAACAGCGATAAAAAGAAGCTCGTTTCCCCTAATTGGAGCGAGCTGTTTAGCTTTCGAGGTAACAGGTGGTATACCTGTGCGCGCTACTTATTCACGCGAGCCCAGCTTCATCGGAGAAAAATCTTTCGTTCAAGATCTACCCGCGTTGTTGTTCCCCCTTCTGGGGAATTGGAATTCGTCGAGCGACGAACTAGAATTATTTCCAATATCTTTCGTAACCTTTTCCTCGATGCTCGTTTATCGATCCAACCGCAGGAATTCTCTCTCTTCGTTGAAAATATAGAAATAGAAATTTAAGAAGCACGATGTAACGTAATGTAATCAATAACGATAATTTTGATTTGAATGAGTATTTATTTATTTATTTTTTATTTTTTTCTTAATAAAATGGAAAGAGTGTTATTTGATGGAATAATTTGTTGAAAGGCGAGCGAGAGGAGAACGTTTGAAGAAATTTCAATTAAAGCACGGTGCGCCTTTGACATATTCGTGATCAAGCGGTGTATTGCGCTGATGGGTAATACGGAGCGTGTCGTATCGATCTTTCTCATCGATCGGACGAGCCTTGACCTTTGTCGAAATTTCATTTTAAATACGTCCATAATCGACAGATTTACATTATAATTATTCTTATATACCTCGTTCGAGAATTGCACCGATAAGTATAGTAAAGAAAATTTATATCTCTAATTTAAGATTATACATCGCGTGTTGTACTCCCTACGGTCTTTCCGACTACAAACCTCGGTTTAAAATTAGAAATGGCTATTAATTTCGAGCGTGGAGACGCGGACACGGAGTGCCGTTTGATGTATGAATCGAATATAAGGATGAATGTTCGAAATCAGAGATTATAATGCGGCAAGAGAGCGCATGTGTAAAGGTCAAGGTTCGTTTACGGATTATTCTCTTTAATTCCGATGGCTTATTTAGGAATTCGAAACACGCGGAAAAGGGGAATAATGTGACCAATAATAAAACGGATCGATATTGTATTATCATTGATATATATATATTATAATAAGGGAGATAATACGCACGAGATTTGATTTACCTTGACATAGATAACAGAAAAGCATTTTTGTATGCAACGTTGCGTAATATTATATATATATATGTGTGTATATATGTTATATCAAGAGAGATTAAAATTACAGCATCGATGCAATGTTATACACGCGTAATCGAAGAAGTGAACGAGATCGCTCTTCATAATGAATCGTAACACAGGAAGAACGGGCAAATTGAATATTTCCACGATGAATAAGCTCGTTGCAGGTGTAATTAATATGCATCGGTCGAATGCTTCGTAAGATGCATTTTTCTGCATCCTTGCTCTGTTGGAATTGTTCCATTGTTTTTTTGGTAATATGAGTGTAAAAAATTGATTTCTTCTTTTTTTTCTTTCTTTTTTTTTTTTGTGTGTTATTACTTTCCATCACTTTACGTAATGGTTTAATTAATATATTACCGCGTTAATTAGAGTATCGTGTAATTCACATTTATTGTTTTTTAAACATAATTAGCAATTAATTGGCGTTGCTCGATGAATTTGCAAATTTTAATCACTTCGAATTTATTCATTGCAAAAACGAACTGTAAATTCATAAAATTCACAACGTGGAATATCAGAATTTACATTAACCTTAGGAAGATTTTATATAGGAATCCATCTGTCCTAAAAACATAGGAATTGCATTTCTGATAATGTTATAAAATTTAATTCGATCAAATTCAAATATTCATCAGATGCTTTAAATTACTCGATTCATCTGAATATCCTTTAAGAGTAGCGATAGATGAATCTCTGAAGACCAAAAGACTTCGTGTAATCATTGAAAATATTATATATAATCATATATCCTTGAATTCTCAATACTCTAAAACTTATCTACATATTAAATAATCCAACATTTTTCACTATGATCGTTTCTATTCCATTTTAAAAATTTCATTTGTCGAGTTTCACAAATTGAAAACAATGTCTGTCGTTAATATAATTTTACATTCGAATCTTAGAGAAATTTTATTAACGTGCACATATCTGTGCAAATTTGGGACTAAC